CCACACAGCAAATATTGTATTGAAATATCAATCAAGCAGCACTGAGAAACCATGCCAGCTACAAGATTGCAAATGGATTTTTAAGTTAAGGGAATAGAAAATATAAAGTAAGGGATTATAGGTTTTTCTTTCTTTCAATCAGTTAAATGGAAGTAAGTGTATGGGAATTGTAGGACTAATCAAGTTTCAAGCGGATTAAAGTTTAAGATTCTCTTGTTAAGAGGCAAATTGTATTGAGAATCTTTCCAATTTTTTTGTGGCTGGTAAGGATGGGTGCATTCACCTCACTTCATTCGCTGTGATACATAAAACAGCTCACCGACTGGACATCTGGTAACATCTTCAAAAGCAAGCAACGCAACAGTCCTCTCCAATTCTTCTAAAAAAGCTTTGCTGAAATCGTGATAAATGTCAATATTAGAAACAAAAATTAGGACGTAACAAGTCCAAGAGCTTTCTTTCAATGAACAATACTACATTTACAGTCCCCCTTCACAGCCTCTTTCACATGGAGTGATGGGCCCCACCCACGTGTGAGAGGACTGTGAAGGGGACTGTACATTTAGCAAAATTGTTCTTTCAATTAGGTAGATAGGAGGGTACATTGGTACTATATTAGTCTAACGGACTAAGATCGCATTGAGTAGGCATAAAGACATTCAAGAAGCAAAAAGAAAAATTACATTTTCCTCTCCTCTTGGAGCAAGTTCCTCTTGAGCAAATTCCAATGCCTCGTCTACCTTACCATTCCTTATTAATTCTATCAACCTTTGCAGTTGGAGATGGAAAAATAGTTGGGGATGTGTATCTAGTATCTGCATTCAAAACTTTCAGATAACATCACAATTGAATTAAATTGGATAGCTTCCCAAACAATGCCAATGGAGTAATTCTAAGTTCAAATAGTTATTTTTTCAGTGATAATTATGAATAAAAACACGAGAGGTGGACTATTGAACCTCGGGATTCAAATCATTAATTTTTTCAATTGCATCCCCCACATGACCAGACTGCACCGCCTTCTTAACCGCAATACGATCTGTGATAGTTTCAAGATCTATCTCTCCTATTTATCCATAGGGACAACTGAATATATTCTTAAAACTACATTGCAACAAAAACACACTACAGGAATGACAACAAAAACAAGCCTACCAACAAAATTGGATCTGCAGAATAATTTAAAGGGGTTAAGCTCTGTCCCAGATTCCATTCTGAAGGTAACTAGAAAATTCATCACCAATCTATTCATGTCCTCTTTTCTAATTTTTATGTCCTTTTTCCCACTCTTCCTTTCTTGTAACTTTCTTGGTAGCCTGAAAAAAATAATAAATTTCACAAATTAATTAGCAGAAAAAAATGACCCAGAATGTTAATTGTAAATCAGCATAATCATAACCCTAACTTAAAAAAAAAAAAAAGCAGAAGAAGACACCTCCTTTTTTTTCTATCCCAAACAAATAAAGGTACAATAAAGCATTATTGAGATACGAAATTTACTGATAACAATAATCAAACTACGAAAGATTTAATAAGAAAATCTGAAAAGAAAATAAATTTTAGGGAATTGAATTATTTAGAACTTATTTTACTCGAAATTGTCAATTAATTATGTTTGATTGGTATAATTTTTCACTTGAAAAATATTAAAATTTTGGATCTTTTGATGCTCGTTTAACTTTGTTTTCCATGGAAATTATCCATTAAAATGATAGAATTTGTTACAAGTGGGGATATAATTTGTTTTCA